CGGAGCAGGTGAAGGGAAGAGAGACCGTCACGCGCCCCCGCGCGGCAAGCGGGAGGGCGAGGAGGGGGGGCAGGAAATGTCCCTGCAAGCCGCGGGGCAGCCAGAATGGCGCGCAAGAGGAATGCTAATCGGGCAGCGGTGGGTTTCAGGGAGGGGCTTCTCCAGGGCGGGAGGTGTGGGGGAGGAAATGCCGCTTGCGAGGAGGAGGAGGAGGAGGAAGAGCCAACCCAAAATGACAAACAGACTTCGCGCTGCGAGGAGAGGGGGACCCGCGTCCGGGACGCGCTCGAAGGGGCCTTCGGAAACATTGTGCCTAAAAGAGCAGGGGCTGGGTTGGCAAGGCGCTATTTGAAGATCGCCACCGTGCCCCGGAGAGAGGCTGTGCCAGGGACGTTGTGAATTGCGGAGACCTAGTCGTTCATTGATCCCTACAGCTCAGGAGGTGCTGTCCTGGGGGGCGGGGGGGCGAGGATAATGTAGGGCCGAGGGGGTATTGGCCATGTGAGGGGCAAAGTAGGTAAAGAAAGAAAGGAAAAGCCAGATGTGGTGAATTTACCTCTTTGAATGGAAAAAAGTAGCAAAGGACCTGACTTCCTGGTTGTTCGGAGGCTCTTGGAAACCAAGAAGGCAACAATGGTGATGTGACTTTCTGGGGTTTTTATACACGTGTTTACTTCTCTGTTGTGGTTTTTGCCACAGAGGAAAGCTATCTAGGCTTTAACAATGGTTGGCACGGGACCCCATGGAAACCTTTGAGCTGTGGGCACTTAGCTCGGCCTCAGGAAGGGTAAGCTATTGGGCTTTACAGTCAACAGTCCTTACCAGCCATGCTTCTTCCTCTCCCGATGGTTTTTGCCTCCAGATGGATTAGTTTCCAGTCTCATAAAGATCAGTCATAAGAAAAGCTCTGCTGGATTCCAACCAAAGGTCTCTCTGGTCACTATTCTGTCCCCACAGAGACCAAGAGTTTCCTGTGAGGAGCCTGGTGGGAAGATAGGAATGTAATTGCTCCCTCCATCCTCCATTGCAGGGCAGCTGATATACAGGGATGTATTGCTTCTGATACTGGAGGTATCGGAGGCAGTACTTCATAGCCGTTCTGATTAATAGACACTGAGGATCTTCACTTCCCTGAATTATTCTAACCTCCACTTAAAGACTTCCAAATTGGCAGCTATCCCTGTATCATGTGGTTGTGAATTCCACAGTTTTATCGGGAACCCTGATACCGGTGATGGTGCGCCAATGGTAGGCTGGGTCATTAAGAGCAATCCCCACGCCCTGTACAGTGCAGAGTGCAACCTAAAAAAAATAGAATTTGGAACCGCGAGCCGTAGAGCAAACCAAAGCTTCTCTAAGGAAACTGAGAGAATTTGAGAGGGGGAAAGAGGGAAGCTATCTAGGTGCCACAGGGTCCCATGGAAACATTTGAACACTGCTGTGGGCATTTAGCTTGGCCTCAGGGAGGGTAAATCAGTGATGCTTACCAATCATGCTTCTTCCTCTCACTACGAGATGGTGCGCCAATGGTAGACTGGGTCATTAAGAGCAATCCCCACGCCCTGTACGGTGCAGAGTGCAACCTAAAAAAATTTGAATTTGGAACCGCGAGCCTTAGAGCAAACCAAAGCTTCTCTAAGGAAAGTGAGAGAATTTGAGAGGGGGAAAGAGGGAAGCCATCTAGGTGCCACAGGGTCCCATGGAAACATTTGAACACTGCTGTGGGCATTTAGCTTGGCCTCAGGGAGGGTAAATCAGTGATGCTTACCAATCATGCTTCTTCCTCTCACTACGATTTATGAACCTCTTGGGTCTTGGATGACATAGAAAATGGTGGTGGATCCTCTATTGTAGCCACATACACAGTCTTTATCCAGTGGGAGGGCACCAATACTCAGTGTGAATTGGGCATACCACGGGAACAGATGCCACCTCATTACAGCAGTGGGTGCTTCATGGGGAGAAACACAAGTGCAAGGTAGCCCAAGCTCTTATTCTAAAAATGTGAGTTCAGCTCCATAGAGATGTGGGGCGGTTCTTCTTATCATTGGGAGTGAGAAGCATGCTAATTAAATCACAGGAGGATCTTAGAGTCAACAGAGGAGAATATTCACTCCTCAAAACAGGCATTTTTCAGCAGGAGACTCAACGGCAGTAATAGAGTTCAGGCTACAGTTTTTAAAAAGGAGAAAGGACTGGGGATGTACTCAGGGTGGTGTGATACAAAAGGTTCAGGAACTTGGCCAAATAGAAACTGCCTTTAGACTTGATGATCTTTTCTAATTCCTTCATTGCTGCTCTTCTGAGTCTCAAGTCTCCTTCTGATTTCTTGGCTGCACAAATTTCAGGTTCACTAAAGTGGGAGACCACATTGAATTGATCTAAGGGCTACTTTTCCAGTCCTATGACCCTCTGGAGCACACCAACATCTCCAAAACAACAAAAACAGGAAGTCACCAGAAGGAAACTCCCAGTTTCACACTGGATTTGGGGTGGGGGTGGGAGTAGAGTAATGTGCCTCCAAAAAAGGAGAGATTCTCCTAGGCAGCTCTGAGGCCATAATTCCCATCCTGTAGTAAAGGCATTTGGATCTTGGTCACACCATTAATCTATTACCTAGGCTACTGGTTCGTATCCCAGGGGGCTGCAGTTGTCCTCACAGGGAGTCCACAAAGGTTTGAAGAAATGCTATGATCGTTTGTAGTTTAAATAGAATAGATGGATGGATGGATGGATGAAAGCAAGAAAGAAAAAAATTAAATGTGGAACAAAATCTTAATTTCCCTTCATTGTTTGTATAAATCCTGGCTTTTCTAACCTACTGCCGCCACTAAAAACAAAGAAAAAATAAAAATTGGTTATAAAAATAACTGTTTAATAGCAAATAACTGTTTGATATTTCTGCACATGGTGAGAACATGCAAGTGAATGATGGCTGAAAGATAGCATATGACATTTCTTGCTAGTGTGCAGATGGTCAGAAGCCATGGGAAGAGAGTCAGAGTTGGTCAGTGTCAGTGTGAGTGAGTGTTTGGATGAACTTCATGATCATGTTTCTTCGATTTCTGCTAATAAAATCATTTGGTTATTATTGGGTAAAGTGACTTCTCAATATTATTGCAGTAAATTTCATAACAATACATTTTGGCGGAGCCTCAGAATGGATTACTAGCTGAATCTGAAATGTAAAAGAATTAATGTTGTTGATGAGGTTGCATCCTGTTCAAAGCAAAATGAAGCTTCTTCCAGTCATCTGAAATAGTGTCGCCATTATAGCAAGAAATATCTGTTGATGAGACCCTTCATGAGAAACTTCAAATAAATATTTGATGCACTTTAGCGTTTTAAATCTTGAGTTAAGCCTTGGTGGTCCACAGCAACAAAATATATTTAAAGACAGTCTGTGGTAAAGAAAACGTTAAGAACCTCTGACCTAGGCAGCCTCTCCCAGAAGTAAAGGCAAAAGAGACATATTTGACAAGTTGGTAATATGATGCCAACAAAATACATAAAAGTCATCGTGGCACAATCTCTCAATGGTTCTGTTCCACCCCACCCCCACATTCCAGCAGTCACCCTAGATGTTTATTAAATATGACAAAAGATACCTGAAAACATCAAGATTGTCAATTTTGGATTAAAATACAATAATACTCAACTGACAGCTTGAATGGTTGTGTCCTTCAATAACCCTGCACCTTTTCTTCCACAGTGCGGTGCTGGAGGAGCAATCTGCTCTCTTCATCTCCAGCTTTGTTGTGCATGAAAGGACACCATGTTTCAGTCTCTTTGCAGCCCAGATTCAGAACTGCTGGCTGGAGAAAGATATGCCAGTCTCTTTTCAGGACATGCACTCATGACATCCAGTATTTTGCAGCCTTGTGGATTTCAGATTGAAAGTGCTGGAGGGCGCAGGTGGGCAGGATACTGGGAGGCTGGGGCTGAAAGA